CCGCGGCGGAGCCCCCACGCCGCGTTCCGTCCGGCCTGCGCACCGCCCGGCGGGGCGATGTAGGGGACATGCCCTGACGGGACGACGAGCGGTCGGGGCGCCGCCTGCGAGGGCACAGCTGCGCCAGCGGGTCGGCCGCGCTCGGCGAGGCCCCCTGAGCACCGCCGCTATGGCCGGGGCCGGGCTCTGGACGAGCATCAAGTCCCTGCTAAGGAGGAGCGAGGACCCGCTGTTCCTGAACGATTCCAGTGCCTTTGACTTCTCGGACGAGGTGGGGGATGAGGACTTCCCCAGGTTTAACAAGCTGCGCGTGGTGGTGGCGGACGACGGTTCGGAGGCGGCTCCGGAGACGCCGGTAAACGGGACATCTCCGGGGATGCCGTCGGACGACGAATCCCTGCTGGACCGGGACATCGCCCTGCGCAGCGCCGGGGCCGGCCGGCCGGACCCTTGCAGCGGCTGCAGCAGCCGGCGGGAGCGCTCCAAGCAGAGGAAGGTGAAGAAGCGGCTGACGCTCGCTGCCTTCCTCTACCTCCTCTTCATGACGGGGGAGCTCATAGGTGAGTCGGGGGCCTGCTGTGCCGTTCCCTCACAGCTTGTTACGCTGCTCCGGCCTTGGCTTGGAGTATTTACTGAAAGAAACCGTCGGTCCTTCAGGGAGAYCAGAGACATGAGCTACACGTGCAGAGTGAGAGAGAATAAAGTCCACCTGCATTTTCCATGAAAGAATTTGCAACTTCCCTTACCTGAATCTCTTACCAATTCCCCGAAATGGCATAATGGATTTCTTTGTCTAATGGATTTTTATTTCTCCTTTTAAGTTTTTAGGRTGTTTTTAACAAAGGAGAAGTGTCGTGAACAATTTCAGTATTTAATATCTGCCATAAAATTAAATTTAAATTTCAGTTTAATCTCTGCCATAAAATCCTTCCGTGTTTGCAACAAGAGAAGAGGGAAATTCAGTTTCAAATGTGACATTTGTCATAACAACGAAACTAATACTGGGAGGTATATTTCCTTATTCACCAGATACAGCAATACGCACTATTACTTAGAACTGAAAACACAAGTCCTGAGCTRTCAGTGGCAATCCAGTGAAAAAATCCTGCTCTTGAGAATTTCCTGATGTCCTGTTGTGCTCTGGACTAGCACGTGCTCCATTAAGACATAAATCATAGGAGCACARTCAATTAAACTGATAGGCATTTTTACACCTCTTGCTATAAGAATTGCAAGAGTTGCATTAAATTATTTGTGGTTTTTGTTTGTTAGTTAGAACTTGCCCAATATAGTGGTTTTACCTGAAAATGAGTTCCCATATAAGCATCTCMTGGTTGGTCAGAAGAATGAACCTATTGCTCAAGTTTGGCTTTTACTGCTCYCTGCTAACGACTGTGCTGTGCAGGATGAGGAGAACCTGTGCGTTATACAGCAGTCTGTACTGAACAACTGTGCTTTATCTAATAGGCTGTAGCAGCATAGACTCAAAATGTGTCCCTGAGATGCATAGAATAGCTGTTAAATGTTATGCCTTTGCTATTTTCTAATAATTTTTACAAAGTAAAAATTCAGTATTTATCTTYTAGTCTCTGTTCACTTACTGTGCCCTGTTACTATCTTTTTTTGATACATGCATGCCATGCAGTGCAAGTGTCTGCTGGGTGCAACTCCTGAAAAATGCTTAAACGCTCTCATTCACTGTCCCTGATATGGAGTTGTGGGGATACATTTCTTTAATTTCAACATTTAAGTCTGAATGTTGAATCAAGTCTGAATCAGAGCTAATCAGATTACTTGCCATAATTCTCACACACAAAAAAAAAAAAAATCAAATCATTTAAACTTTCTGGAAGTGAAGAACAAGAGATACCTCTGGTATAGTAGCATGTGACCTATATCCCCCTCCTGACTTCTGCAAATTAAGTTAGTGAAGTGCTTGTTTCGTGAATTGAGCTCATGCTCTTGGATGCTCTTGTTAGTACAGCTGTGAATTGTGTCTTTAAGACAAACTTGTGCAAGATAGATAGAAAGTAAAATCATTGCTAGAGGATAAATAATGCAGTTTATCCTATAGACGCAGGGAAAAAAAAAAAAACCCTAGGAGAGAGGTTCCATTTTTCAGAGAGAGAGACCAGAATATCGACTGTGTCTGCACCAGTTTTATTTGGGGCCTTATTCAGGAACGTAGGTTAATGAAAAGAGTGGTTTTGTCCTTCAGCATGTCTCAGTATGTGGCTGGTCATTAATAACGCTGCCACGATACATCAGCTTATTATGGCTGAGGCACTATGTGTCAAACCTGTTGTGGGGATTTGCCTGAATGCCCCCATTTGCCCCCTGGCTCCATGTTTTTTCTCTGGCTGAGATTTTGGTTCAGCATGAATTCAGGTAAATTTCATAAGCAATAGTGTTGTATTTTAGGTTTAGACATCTTTTAACGTGAGAGTGATGTTGATTGTATTTCTATCAGAGTTCTGATGTTCACTGAACTTAGTTCGTTTGAAGGGTTTTTTACTGAATGCCTGAGCTGTTGGCAGGTTGATGCTCAAGTTGCTGGGAGTGTTTCTGTTTGGGGCTTTAGATCTGATTCATGCTGTTGTAGACCTCTCCATAGCTAGAGCAGGGAGAGCTCTAGAAATAATAGGTGTTGAGAGTAAAAATACTGTCTCATCACTGTCACATCATCTGTTGTTCTTCCCGTACGGTCAGGACTCACGCAGGCTTAGCCCAGCTGGATTTGTCTGTACAGAGTGTTAGTGCTGTACTGTGAGTTCATCCTCCTCAGGTCTGGGTGTGCTTTTTCCAGCCATATTTCGTTCTTTGGGCACAGAATCAGAGAGCACTGASGGCCAGACCCATAAAATATTCAGGTATCCATCTTCTACAGAGAATAAAGAGAGGGTTTGGTTATCTCTGAACTTCTGCGGATCTCGACCTGTATGACTTGTCATAGGGCAAATAATCATCAGAAGAAGAGTAATTAGAGATAYAGTCCCCAAGTCCTGGGTCAGTGTCCCATCTATTTAATTTATTTCACTCCAGCCCTCTACTGTGTACTCTTTGGTTGGTTTCAAATTTCCAAACTYTATGAATTGATCTGAAACTCAGGTATTTGGGAAACTCTGATCATATAGGATATTTTAACTGACTTCCTTGTATGATCTTTGACAGATTCGAGTTTCTGAGAAAAAGGCAGAAGACTCTATCAGACAGTTAATTTTTCCAGTAAAAATCTTCCTGCTGCYTTCATTGCCATACCAATGTCAGGATGAAGGCAATCTTGTTTCAGCAGCTTTTTTGTGAAATCTTGATTGGCATATTTTTTCCAAACTCACTACCCCAGTTCATCTCARTGTTTGTTGTTTAATTTAATGAAGAGTCAGATAACAATTTACATTTTGGGGAAACCATTGTGCATCAAGAAATGAAAAACGTATTGCAAGTCCTAGTTAGCTTTTCTGACAGGGTTTTGATGTTCTCAGCTGTGTTCTGAGATTTCTAATTGATCATCCATGAGGAGAACTGCTGTCCTTCATGGTTCACTGAAAACAGTGGTGAGCCATCAAGCTGTCTGTTTGTAAAGGTTATAGATGTCTTTTTTTCCAGGTTGGCAATTGTATTTAAAAAGCCCCTAGGCAGTACCTTTAACCAAGCGGTGAACCGATACCTTTAGAAACAGAGAACCTTTGATTTCAGAACTTCATAAATGGCAATAATGTTTTCTTAATCCACTGCAATCCAATGCTGCATTATGTTTAGCTTCAGTACCTGAATTCCTTCCTTATAATTTTATTTTGAAAGACTTAAAAGTGAGAGGCTAGCTGCAATGAAATTGACTCTTCTTGGACTGAAGTGTTTCTCAAAATTAATACATATGAATCAACATATATACTGTAAATAATGATATGTTAAACTACTGAACTAAATGTCCTTAGATACAAATTATTTTTTGTTCTCTGTTGACTATAAAAGAAGCTGAGTTGCACTTTTCTAAGTATTTGTTTTTAATTATGGGAAAACACCAATTAATTCAGAAAGGAAAGGTGTAACTCATTTTACTTAAAAAGCCGCTGAATTGTTAAATCTTAAAAACTCAATGTTTTTTGAGCTGTGATGGCCTTTTKGAGAATTACAGCCTCAGAAGAATTTGACATAGAAAGTTCTGCCCAATTGAAGAAAGGGGATGTAGGAATGGAGCTGTTTGAAATGTAGTGCATTTGGTAGTTACCCCCAGCACAAGCAGTAGTGCAGTACCAGCTGTGCTCCGTGTTTGGCTGGGGAGCAGAGTGGAGCTCTGTCTGCAGGTGTGGACATAAGAACACCCACAGCCACACACACACAGGTTTCATGAGCAGTCTTAAAAGCATTCAGCCAGTTGTGAATTCCCCTTTGCTATTTCCTCTGCTCAGCCTCTTCACTAAGACAATTTTAATTGTATACGAAGATTTCTTTATCTGAAATGTTAGTTGGAGCCTCAAGCCTGCCAAATGGCACACCAGCTGCGTGCTTTGCTCAGTACAGTTTACAAGCTGCATGACAAACTCAAGGTAAAAAGAGAAACCAAATCGTAGCTGAGCTGACACTAAAGATGTGATCTTTTCTGCGATAATGGGCTTTCCTTCAAGCATATGGAAGACAACACATCCTGTCCTTGAKTCTCCTTTGTATAAGGGACACTTAGGCAGAGGGGCATTGTTTAAATCTCTCACCCATCCAATAGTAGCTCTAGCAGTTGAAATAGAACAAASATATTAACCTTTAATCTCGGGTTATTTGTCTCAATGCAGCTCATAAGTACAAGAAAAAATTATGGTAATAAATAACAAAAATGCTATACAAGTGGAAGTAATGGTYTGCAATAGGTATTGACAGAACTCGCACAATCCTGCCAGGACAGGGAATAATTAAGGTTAAAAGATAACGTAAGGAAAATAAAAAGAGACAGGGTAAATTTCCTTATTGTTGAATCTCTGGACTTAGGTTCCTGTTCTGTCATGTCAGAATGTTTAAAAAATGTAGTTTAATAAAAGGATCAGTGGATTAAACACATGTGCAGTAATATGTGGAGAAAAGATACAAAAGTGTTTTGGACCTGATCCTGCAAACATTGTGATGCAAGGAGTCTTTGTTAGAATAACAGGAGTGAATCSTTTCTGTGTTACTCTTAATAGAATGCACACTTGACTGCACTTTTAACTGTGGTAGCCTTAAATTACAGCATGGCATTTTGCTTGTAATGGCAAAACCCTCCCCATGTTTAGTGGGTGTAAGAAGGGCTCTCATGTACTTATTGCACTATATCTGAAAACAAATAACTGTAAGCTATGCAAGAAGGTATTATGTAAAATAATGAAAAATGTCATGTGTCCTGACTTTTCCAATWATATTTTCAGGTGGCTATGTTGCTAACAGTCTAGCAATTATGACAGATGCACTTCACATGCTAACTGACCTTAGTGGTATTATTTTGACCCTCCTTGCTCTCTGGCTGTCTGCAAAATCTCCRACAAAGAGGTTCACTTTTGGATTTCACCGCTTAGGTATGTAATATCAGTTTTTGYTATTAAAGAGTATTTTAAGCAACAACTGTAAAGAGCACTAATTCTAGAAGAATTGGCAGCTAGAAAGAAAGCAGCAACAAACCTAAGAGTTGCTTTAACTAGCTCTTAATGTCCTTTCTGGCTGTTGTGGATACATTGCTTAGGTTGTATTGCCACAAGGGAATAGACTTTAAAAAAAATTGGTCAAAAGTTTGATGGCAGAATTTCTTTCACTGGGAGTAGGGCGAGTCTCTCCATCTCTATCAGCTAGGACTTAGCAGACTCAAATTCTGAATGCTTGATTTATCTTCCATCTTAAAGAGGGAGGYTGGGGAATTGAATTCATGATGACATTGATGGTGCAGGAGCTGTGCATGTCAGCCTGTTGTTGCTCACAACAGATTATTGCCAGTGCCCAGGATTTACAAAATCTTGTTGACTTCAGCAGAATTGTGATACTGGAAAAAGGTCCTATTGCATTTTAATCCACCACTAAGAAGTTATGTAGAACATATTATTAGAGAGCTCTGCCCTGCCAGAAGTCATATAAATCAGTATTCCTCTTGCATTCCCCAAACCACAGAAAGCTGAGATTAAAATGTCCMATGGTTTGCAAAATACAGCAAGTTACTTTACCTCTGTCCAGTTTAGRTGTCCCTAAAAAGAAGTATAAACAGAATTATGGACTAACCCTTGGAAGAATACTTTCAAGATTCATTACTTCATGTTTGGAAATGTAATGATGATAAAGGGTGTTTTCATGTGGTTGCTAACTGGATATAATAATTTATAAAATACAGCTGCAAGTCTGTAGACATTTTAGCAAAAGCTTCAAAGTATCTTTTTCATGAAATAGGTAATTTCTARTGTCACAGTTTTCTCCCTGTCTTCTATAACACTCTAGAGCATACATTTTTCAAGGAATTTAAGTCTTGTGTAGTCACTATTTGCAATTCTTATTTTGGCTGCTAGAACAGCAGTAGAATTCAACAACTCCATCACTCCTTGTCATTTGTCATCAGTTAGTCACTAGTGCATGAATGCATAACTCTGTACACTAGCTAAGCTCTTTGGGGCTCTAGCAAGAAAGCATTAGCAATGCCAGCATTTCCCATTACAAACTTTTCTTTCATGAAGTTTTAATTTTGTGATAGGAGCTCCCCTAATACTGAAACCTGACCTTGCAGGTATGCCCCTGGCATTTGCTAATACCCTCCAGAAGGATGTTCGTTAGCATTTATACATTCTTTAACCCTATTTCAAACAACCCTATTTGGGTAGTTTATGTCTTTCTAACTTTTCTAAAACCAAATAGCACATATCTTGAACACGCCATGGCCTTGCTTAAAACGGGCATATCTTATAAAAAATATAAGAAACTTACTTAACGATTAAAATCTTACTCAGTTCTGTAAATTTTCACAGACTTTTTAATTATTGTGGAAGAAGAAATCCCTGAGGATTTCTGCCACCTCATTTGCTTTATATTTTTTCCTTTCTGTTTCAGTGTCAAGAGAAAATAGTAGCTACACTGATCCAGTGGTGGTCTATGGGCCAGATGTGGCCTGTAAAATTAGTCTGTACTGCCCTTCTCCCTTGGAGAAGCTACAGGGAGCAGCATCTCAGTACTGCAACAATTAGTCCTCCTTTCCTGCTCCCAGTGCCAGTATGTGGTCAAAGACTAGCACAAGTTGTGGAGTGTCTGCAGTTGGAAATACATGAAACCCACCTGAAGCAGCCCTGAGCAACCTGCTCTTGTCCTTTGAGTGGGACTACAGTTTCCAGGGGTTCCTTTTTACATCAGTCATCATGCAAAAGTAGCAGCAGTGCAGTTCTCTCTCTCTCAGAGAGCCTGGGGCTGGGGAGAAGAGTTTTCTGTGGCTACAGTAAGGAAGTGAGTAAAGGCCTTGCCAGGGACCCCTAAAGTGCAGAAGATGGGATAGTTCAAAATTACTACACCCAGTCTTTCTCAAAATCACATTTKTAAAAATTATTTGCCTGATTTTAGGCACCCAGTCTGAATGCTGTGGCCTGAGGGCCCASTTTCACACATCAGTGAGTGCTGGCAATGAACAAAGCCATTTCTAGAGTATATCCTCATTGTAACACATTTTTCCAAGAAACCCATATGTAAGAAGCTTGTCAGCAAATAATACCAGTTCAACAATACCTTAAATTTCACAAGAGAGATGTTRAAACATGTCAGAATGTTAAAAATAGGGTACAGATTGGGCATCTGTCACAGAAAAAGATGTGGAGYATTTGTTTAAAGCTGGGAATATGTGTAAGAACTGTCTCATCACTGACCTGCTTTGCATTAAGTTCTAAGATAATCCATACATTCAGTAGGCATRAAAATGTTCTAATGAACAATGTTTCTGGTACTTGTTATCATTTTTGTTTGTAGAATGATGAATTTTCAGACTTGTTCCCATAAACACTGCTTTGTAAAAGCAACAGACCTGTTAGTTGTCTAGTCAAATTCCAGAAATAATTTTCATTTATTTGAATTCTCTTTGAATACATWATATATCTGTTCTGTCTTCAGTTTTGTGCCATTTTCAGTGGTGAAAAGGAAGCTGACAGATTCAGGAATGGGTTAGAAAAGTGAAGACAAAATAATGGAAATTGCAGTCATGTCAAAAAAGAATTAAATTCTTGAAGCCAAAAATAGTTCAGTTTCACTACCAAGTGTAGATAGCTCCTTTTCAGCAAGACATTGAGCAGATTTAAGCAAAGATATGGAATCTGGCACTTTTCCATTGCTGCAGAGACAATGTTAGTAATGACAGAATCAGACAGTCCACTGAGACAGGGATGCACAGTTCATTTCACAAGAAGTGAAAGATCTCAGCACAAATCTACAATGCTGACACGACAGTGACTATGGAAGAAACTGCAAGGAAAACACTGGTTTTCATTGCAGAAAACATGGCTTTAGATTGTAAAAGCACACTATATTATTTCTCTGGTAAATGCTAATGGGCTATGGCTTCACACGTTTTTTTAAAAAGCATTCTGGAAAACCTTCTAAGCAATGTATTGTGTATTTTTAGGGCTGTTGCCCTGAATAATATGCCGGCTTTGTAAAGAACACTTCCATTTGTATGAATATTTCCAGGATTTTCAAGTTGCTCAGAAATCATCTCAGCTTAATGATAGTTGCCTTTCAGAGCCTTCTTACTGCCTGCTAATGCTGTTCCTCATCCAGGCATTGACACTGCTACCCAGCAGCTGAATGCATTGGTGTGTGTTTTTTCTCCCATAAAGATGTTAATAATTCAATGTATGGATCAAGGGATTTTGGTGATGTTAAAATGCTGATGTAGCTGCATGGGTTGTTTTCTGTAATACTTGGTAAGTAAAACACTTCTGTGTCAGAAATGACATCTGCAGTCACCAAAGTTATACTGCTTGCTGGCATATTCAAAGCACAGGGAGAAGAGAAGCAATTCTCATTTGAGTGTTCTTAGGGCTATGGTATAGCCAAGGGCAGAATTTTGCCCTTGCTGGGGAATAAATCAGGGCAACATGTGTGGAACTAGGGRGAAGAACAACTCTTACAATTCCAAGTAAATTAATTCCACCTCTGATCTTTGAGTTCACAGAGGAAGGCTGAGATCCCAGTGATCCATCTGGCAAGTGACAGTAATGAGCATTATGCATAATGATTACAGATTACTCAGGCATGGCTGCAGATTTACAGGCAGTACAATGGAGTGAGCATTAAGGTTTTCCCAGTGCTTTTTGTACAGCCCTGTATTAACTTGCATATAACTGAGGCAGTCCTTAACTGGGCTAATGTTTCCTCTGTCAGCTGTGTTGCTTTTTTTTTGACTGACTGGGAAACACCTGTATTCTATATAGGAGGACCTTAGAATTGTAGTTTGGACTCACCCTCCTCAGGTTTGTGTGCTGTTGCCAGCCCAATTTCATAACTCGAGTTCTGAAGCAGCACAAAGGTCCTGACCTATAAATTACTCAGACCTGTTTATTTACCTCCCATCTGAGCAGCAGGAACCTTATAGAGGATTGTAATCACTTTCCACAGATGTAAATGGCAGCAGAAAGGGCAGGACAATGAAACACTAGTTTTTATTAATTTTCTAGTGTTTATTAAGATATATGTTTCCTTTTAAAAGTTCCTGCTGATCAGATAAAATTTCTACACCAAAAGAATGGTCATACTTTTATGAAATACTAATATTTAGTAAACATTATATAATGTTAAAACAGCCTATCACAGCAATTGAGAAACTTACATTAAGCAAGCATTTGTAGTTGAAATCTGCCTTAGATAGCATTTATGAGCACATATGTCGAGGAGCTTGAGTGTCATGTGTGACAAGTCTGTACTGTTTGGTTTATCTTYTATTATCTCCATCCTAAATACAAAASGATATATAAAAATAATGTCYAAATYCAGCTTAATACTGGATAGTTAAAACCAAGGTTTCCCTTATTTGTGGGTAGGCTGGTGATSTTCAAGATCACCTGTCCTCCTCACCCCTGGATGGGGCCTTTGCCTGTGACTTCTCAGGCAAATATTCTGGATCATCTGGAGAAGTCAGGCTCATCACCTGTGCAGAAGTTTTCAGAGAAAACATAATTTGAGGTGTGTACTGATGATAGGGACGTGTGAAGGAGTGGATTAGAAAAAAMTCCATTGGTTAGTCCTATTATACAAGTTTTATTTGCCACACAAATTGTTAGTTTATATGAGGTATAATACATATGAAGTAGTTAAAACAAGGCCCTGTCCACATTCTAATTGGAAACAGAAATAGATCTGAGACACATTTTTATAATGTCTTTTCCTTTCTGTTTGCAGAAGTACTGTCAGCCATCATTAGTGTATTGCTGATCTATATCCTTACGGCATTCCTCTTGTATGAGGCTGTTCAGAGAACTATCCATATGGACTATGAAATAAATGGTGATGTCATGCTCATCACAGCAGCTGTCGGTGTTGCAGTTAACGTAATGTAAGATCTCTCTCTCCATTAATACTCATAAATGTATTTCTGAATAAGCTGCTAATTCATTCATGGCCTGTAACTTTCTCATGAGATGYAATTTTGCTGGACCTCTTAATTTTCATAAATAAGCAATGATAATGACTATTACTTCTTCAGTTGTTTGGAATTATTCAATATTATTCAAATATTAAAATGAAAAAACCCCAGCAAATYCTCCCTACCCAACAAGTGCCCCCACCCAACAAACCCTAAAGCCTGTTTCTTGAAGCATTTCTCTTCTTTCTCTTTCAGAATGGGGTTTTTGCTGAATCAATCTGGTCACCTTCACTCCCACTCCCATTCCCACTCTCACTCTCACGTACCTCAGTCAAACTCTCCAAACACATCCCAGGGCAGCAGCCATGGAAACAGCAGCCTGGCCGTGAGAGCAGCATTTGTCCATGCCCTGGGGGACCTGGTACAAAGCATTGGTGTGCTCATAGCTGCCTACATCATCCGCTTTAAGGTAAGGAAGGCCTCTCCTTGAGGCATGGGGGAATTYTTGTGATTTCAGTTCCAGTGATTAAAAAGGAGCCTGTTTTTAWAAGTTATTTAAAATACCTGTGATATTTTATTATAAGCTTCATCCATTTATGCAAAATAAGCAAAGCTGTCTCTATTACTTATATTGTAATTATTCAAACAAAAAAAAAATCATGAGGCTTGGAACTAGAAGTAACTGTGTTTTCTGAGTCACATTTTTGTAAGGGAGCTTRTTTTCATACATCCTTTGACATGGTGAAATTTCCCTTGCAGCCGGAATACAAGATTGCTGATCCTATATGTACATAYATATTTTCCATACTGGTGGTTTTTACAACAATTCGAATTCTGTGTGACACAGGACTGATTATTCTGGAAGGTAAGATCTGTGCACAGTCTGCAGTACTTTACATGCCAAATACCAGTGAGCGTTGGYCCTTTCTTGACACTGCCATCACCATCTCTAAGTGGATTGTGCCTGGACACCTGTCTGTCTTGGTGCTGCTTTAGTCTGGTGGTTCTTCATGGCTTCTCTAAATTGCAGCAGTCTTYAGGTGTCTTTGACTGTGGCCAGAATGACACAAGTCCTATCTCAGCCCACTCTTTACCATCAGGAGGAGGGACAGTGAAATGTACAGAACTTTCTTATGTGTCTGCAGTGACTCTCAGCTAAATTGAGTGAACATTTGCGCAGACTCAGGTCTATACTCACACTTTAATTACTTGTACAGTTAAAGTGAATGAGAGTGCAGGTGAAAGGAGGCAGCAAGCTTAGGCCAAATGTCTGGACACGGGATTCATGCCTGTCTTGCCTTCCCCTTTCCCACAAGTGCCTTTGTATTACTTGTGTGCATCTACTGGTCCCAACAGGGGAACTGCAAGTTAAGAGAGRTGTAAAAAGAAAAAAASGGAAGAAAAAGCTGAACACAGCCTGAAGGATCTTATCTTGTGTGACATGGAGGGAAACATCAGTAACATTCTTTCCTTTATATACTTGCCAACAATTACTGCCTGATCTCATAGTATTATATGATGGAAGTGAAGATGTTAGGCCTGGGAGAAAAACCCTGGGTTTTAGCTGCACATTCCTAACTGTCTCATGTTAGGAATMATTATTGCCTTTACTTTTATTRTGTTATGAGRTTAAATCAGAAATCTCAGAATCTTYAGTCAAGTGCTTTTGCTGTCACTTAAGATTAAAAAAAATACCCAACGAAGTTGTAATTCACTGAGAAGGCAAAAATGATGAAATTTGCTTAAGAACCCTTAGTTAGCTCCAAGTTAATAGATTTAGCTGAAGAAGACAGGTAAGACCAACTAATGAGGTATCAGATTCCAGCATTGTAGCTGTATGCTTGATACTTTAACAAATTTTGAACTTGAGAGTCTGTTCTAGCCAGTTACTAGGGGTTAGAAGCTAGTAAAGTTGTCAACAAAAATACATCATTGCAAAGGATCTAATGCTGGCTATTGCCAGAGAGTGGATTATGGACAGGACAGGTTCCAGTAGAGACAGCACTGCAATTCCTTTAMAACTTCTGTATCCATGCTAGACTTAACAGGCCCATTTCTGTATTATTTTCTGCTGATAACATGAATGTTACTAACCACTTCCAACAGCACAAATTCTATTTTTTTTGGCATTGAGATCTGTCCTGACATTTTAAAGGCCACTAAGACTTTGCAGAAGACAGAGTTAATTTTCTCTCATGTTTGGTATCACAGGAGTTCCAAGGCACATAAATGTGGATCGCATCAAGGAAGACTTGATGAAAATTGAAGATGTTTATTCTGTAGAAGATTTAAATGTTTGGTCTCTCACTGCAGGAAAAACAGCTGCCATAGTCCACTTGCAACTAGGTAAGCTGCTGGATAGCATAATTCTAAATTAAATCCAAGTGTAGGAAAAACCCCACCACTTCCTCTTCATATTGTTAAGTTGAACCAAGAAATATCATTCTGGGGAAAGAAAATCTACTAAGTCTGGTTTTGTACAGCAAGGAATAAAACCCATTGGCCCAGAAAGACATGGCATAAATGAAAATAATGCAAATAAAATATATTTATACCAGAATACCCAATACAGATTCTTTGGGTAAGAAAAAAAACAACACGAAATTTCTCCTCAGAAGTTTTCTTACGTGTTTAAGGAAAGAAAGAGTGAAGTTCTAATGTGAAACAATCTAACATATGAAAAATAAATGTTTTGCCAAAACATGTGCTGATTCAGACATCTAACTGTACCACAAATACCAGTTTTTAGTAAGAAAGCTCAGGCTTTTTTTGGGGAAAAATGTCAAACACAAAGAGAGTTCTATCAAGAGAGGTGTAAAATAATAAAAAGAGATATACAGGGACCACAAGAACAATATTAATTAATGAGTGTGAGCAACAATTATTCTCATTGGTGACACTGGGATAAGTTTGAAAACATTGGGATTGCCCAGTTTTCTTTATGAGTGAATTTATTAATTATTTTCTTAATTTTCCAGTTCCTGGTAGTTCATCTAAATGGGAGGACGTTCAGTCCAAGGCCCGACAACTGCTGCTGAACACATTTGGAATGTACAAGTGCTCTGTCCAGCTTCAGAGTTACAAACAGGAAATGAACAAAACCTGCCCRAGTTGTCAGAGTTCCAGTGCCTAATTTCATATGTTTTGGGAACTGCTGCCTTATTCTTTACCTTGTGTAGTCAAAGACTGAGAGCAATAAATGCAAAATGAAAACTATCCAATAGTAACCATTAATATGTGGATTCGTACCATGGGACATGCAGCAGGGAGAACTGGTGCTGCAAAAAGTGCAGTGGTTGCCCTACAGAACACATGTTTCACTTTCTCGCTTGTACCGGTTTATTCAATTTATTATGATTTTGAGAAAAAGCTGTTTCTTGATTATTGTTTACAAACTGGAATGTGGTTCTGCAGATACCTCACAAATTACAGTCCAATATTGTCCTTTAATCATTACGTACCACAAAGTACCCGCACTCCAAACAGAGTATCAAATATTCAGTGTTTCAGTCAAAAGTCTCTCATGCGGATCATACCAGGTTTGTACAAGATATCATGATCCCCAAATTAATTACTCAGTATTTTTGCAATAGTAATTTTCTTACAGTATCTCAAACTATTAACACACACATGAAGTTGAAATCTTGTGGAAACKGTCTCTTTGGAGACACTGCAAAATACAGAATTTACTGTACCCAGACCAGAAATTTAGCTTTAATCTGGGCACTCAGAGATCCAAATAGGAAGATCTTTGCCCAGACTTCGGGTATTTAACTAGAGACCCAACACTGGACCCAAAGGGTTTTAAGTGATCAGTTATCTTTAATGTATTTTAGAATAGGGTTTATACATTAGAAACAGGTTATTTATTTTACGAAGTTTTGACTTGTAAGATGAATTTATTAATAATCTCGAATGTCTAAACYATAATTTGATTCACGTTAAAAGGCCAGTTGATTAGCATGCATTCTAATTGTAATTAATAAATGTTCTGTAATGTATAATTTTTCCATGATTGTTTTGTTTAAAAAAGTCAAATGATAGAAGCGATGTTTGACATGAAAATACTCGCAAATGCAATCTACAGATATGTGCATCTAACAGAAAAGTGAAGAGCAGAAGTTTTAGAGACGCACTGTTCCATCCATCACAATCTCTGACCTTCTCATCTTTGCTTTGAGCACAGCATGGCAGCATCCCAACAGGATGCTACTGAGCACAGCAATAGCAGTTCCCACTACCTAGCCTATGCATAAAGCAAAATCCATGCAAGCCCAGTAACCTAATGGTGTTGGACAATACTGTAACAATACCGTAACAACCTATAGCAGCAGAAAGGCCCTTTTGTATTTACAGAGARGAGGCAGCCTGAAAAGACTGGATTTATCTGGACAGCTCAGAGTCCACAGTGTGGAATGGTTTGGCCTCATTGTGAAACTGCTGTATTTTGAATGTATACAAGATAATCAATCTTGATACTTAACTATCATACACCTGCAAGCTCAGATTTAACCTGCTTGKGAAGTCATTGGCATTGAAGAAGCTAAGGGCAGCAAGAATATGACCTACACAGTTCAGAAGATGGGAGGAACTTCAAATGTCCTTTCCTTATTCTGTACTTTCATCTTTATGCTCAACTTCCACTGACATGAAAAGTAATTCTCTGTGTGGATCAAAAGGGAAAATTTTTGCCCAGTTACGGTTATTGTGATACACAGCTGGGAATACTTCAGCTACTGCCTGTTTTGAAATTCATTAGGGTTTCACATTTTCATCAGGCTGATTTGTATCTGCATTTGGTGGTAACAATCTTGGCTTCTTTTCTTCCTTTTGGAGGTAGGGGTCACATGAATTTTTATTGGTGAGAACTGACAGCACATTGTGGATTTGGACAAAGTGCACATAGCACTGGATTGTGTTTGTATCTGTTTGGGCAAGAAACAGGAACACTCATGTACAGCATGGGAGCACATGCAGCTCAAAAGCAGCACTGTGCTCGGGAAGGTAATGCTGCAATACAAACACTRTCATTAATTAAGCCATATCACAGTTCATGAAAAATGTGCATCCYGTCCTTACAAACTTACTGGGAAAAACACCTCAAACCACAAACAATAGGTATTTTGCACATACTAATGCTCAAATGGGTTTTGATTAAATTGGGGTTTACAGTTGATGTAATTAGATGTTGAAGTACAGTAGACATGTATTTGCAGTTTTTTAATAATTTACATTTGTTTAATTGAAGAAAAAAGGTGTGTTGCTTTATTGTGGTTTTTATTAAATCAATTATTAAACTTCACATTGTGTTATAAAATATTTATTTGTATTTCTCTTGTCATCTTTGAATTCTTACAGCAATCTGATTCTTAGGGTAACTGTGTTTTTAAATGTCTGAACACTCAACTTTAATTCAGTCTGCAGATGCTATACATAGAATTAATTAAATCTCTTTCTTTAGAACAATTTAAATCTTGTTATTTCCCATGCAATAATTGCACTTTCGAAAATATAAGCTGACAGAGTATGGTGAAGGATCTACCACCCCTTACCAGAAAGCAACTGTCAAACATTCTTGAAACCCTACATTCACCCTTGAGGGGCCGTTTTTACCAAGGTCTGTATACTGCAAGTTCAGAGAAAAGGCAACAGAAGATGAAATGAGAATTAAAGTATCAGTAAGTTTTTATATACTTCAAGGTAATTTTCAGTATCATCTTTWTAGAAAAGGGGCATTATTATAAATAACGTCTAGTGTCTTTCCAAGCCATGTTATTTCATGAGGCTAAGATAATTTACACACTCTTACACTAATCTCTTTCTAACAAATCCTCTGCCTGAAATGAAAATGCATATACTTGATAGGACTTCTTTCTAAGCAAAAGACTTGCAAGATCTGAGCAGGTATCCACAGCTAATATCCCTGGTTTCCAGAGCTGTGCTGGAATGCTCTTCCTGATTGAACAGATGAAATCCTGTGAAAATTCTCTCACTTCTGGAAGTCCACACTGCAAGAAGGTTTTTCCTTTCTACATCTGTGATTGTCACCCATCATTTTCTGGAGCACAGATACAATTTTGATGACAACCTACTCATATGAGTCAATAAAACATCTTCGTATCTGTAGATTGAAAACCCTCACATCCCACTCTTCCCTTCTGAAGTGTTCTTATCCTAAGAAGAAAATTATCAGAAACATAGTTTGCTTCTGAATGTTTTCTTTGCTTAATTAYGTGGTTTGGTTTTTGTTTTTAATTGTGTTGACATTTAGTCTTTTCAATACCAGCAGCATTTCTTTCTTCACCAGCAGAATAACCATTTAAAATGTCATACTTGAATCTGGTCTTCAATTATCTTACTACTGTACATATCTGCTATTTCTTGCAGAATCACTCCCAAGTGGCAGAATGACTCAGAAAAGCAGTAGGCTGGCATTCAAGAGTAATTTTTTTACATAGAACGAAAAACCCCAAAAGACACTCATCAAGTAATGAGTGGCAGATTTTGTTCAGGTATTTTGGTGAGATCTCATGAGGACATGGCACTGATGCTGCACAGGCAGAGCTGTTAAAGCATTATTTCTCTCTACAGACACCACCAGAGTACAATAAAGATAAGCTGCTGGGTAATACTGCAGCAGCTTCCTAGACTCCAATAAACCAGTCTATTGGCAGAGAAGTTCCCTTAGGATCTCAAGCGAAGGGGACAATTCTCTGGAAATATCCAGCTCATTTCACTCTATCCATCCAAAATGGCATTGCCAAAGTATTTTTTCTTGCTGKTTGCTCCCAGCACTTTCAGTTTTTCCAGGAGTTAGCACACCTAGCACAAGTGTCATGTATCACCAGCTCTTTGAATTATGCCACTGCTCTCAGCTTCCCTCTCTTGGTTTTCTTGCCATATTCTGTCCTCTCCACAGTTTCATTAATAATGACCAGCTCACTCCTTGGGTACCTGCTGCTTACAGGGGTCACCAGAAGCTTCTCTCCTTGTACCAGGTGTAGAGCACATCCCAACAATAAATACAGACTTGCCCTTGCCAAAGTTCATTTCCTCTTTGATCAACAGACTGAAAAAAACCAAAAGCCTTCTAGCCCACAAGTTGCTAATTCACAGGGAAGATCTAATCTGAAAGTATATAGATTCCCTTTTCACCATTAAAAAAAAAGAAACAGTCCTCCACATTCTCCACCCAGTTTCACCCCACCCTCCCCTCTACAATATATCACGCAGGGCACCAATAGTCCCTGGGGCTGGCACATTCCCTTCTGTTCCACTCTTCTCATTCCATTTTCCACAGCCAAATGCCCTAGGAAGGACCCTACATGCTCTTTTGTTCTGTGAAATACCTGACACAACTTTGGAAGTTACTAGAATAAATACAGATCCTTTCCATTTTACTGCTTTGCAGCCACCACAGCAATCTGCTCTTACAACACATGTGTAGCTGCCTTCAATGTGTACAGCTGTAAAATGATGATAACTACATCAGTACTTTTGCTCTTTTATCTCTATTTTCCTTTTCTGCGTTGTGTTCTGCTTGTTGTTTTTCTCTCAGCATCACGCAATTTGAAAGTGCCCAGTGCTAACTCTGCAGGACAAAATAACTGCTTTTATTACAGCTATGAAGCATTTACACCTTTTATGGCATCAATTTGTGTAGGGGAAAAAAGCTATTTAAAAAGCAAAAATATAATTTTATCCTTAAGATGACTGCTTCATGATTATCTTACTATTATACATGGTAAAAAGGTAGGTTGTTTCTCCAGGGCCATTATCAGCTGGTACATGAGGGTACATGAATCCAGTCAGTGCTGTTGGTCTAGAGTATGTTTTGCATTGTTTTACATGAAAAACTAATCCCTAATACATAGGGATTTTTAGTTCAGCTGGTGAATAAATAAAAGGACCCAGATGGCAAGCAGAATAAAAATTTGCTTTTATCACAGGTGCAGTAAARGCACCCAAGTCCCTGCAATTTTCCTATTTCTTTTTCCCAAAGCACACACAAAGAAATTATCTAAGAAATCCCCAAATAAACTGATGAAATGTGAACATATAAAACCAGTCATGTAAGTCTAGCATCTGGCCTTTTAAAAATCAAAACAGAATTTTTGAGAAAAACACCAYAAACATTTTCATAGTTAAGATGAAGCTCCATATTTCAACAATTGTAGCATACAATTATTCTGACTTTTTTTTTTTAATTTTTTTTTACAGACTTCTCGTGCTCCCGTTTCCAAGCCCCCTATGAGAACAAGCCTGACACACCTGGACGAGCAAAGGTTCCTCTCACCTGGGAGCCTTCCAGGCCGTTCCCGACTTTTCCAGACGATGGCGCASCGCTCCCAGCCTTGACCAAGAGTCGTGTGCTGAGGAAAGCCGTGGAGAATTCCCGCTGGTGAGAAAATACATTGTCACACATTCTAGAAATGTCACATCAGTAAGTAAAGAAACAACACCACCCCTATCCCACTCCCTAAAATAAACCCCCAACCAAACCCTCTCATTTTTTTTCCTAAAAATAACATAGGGGATTTAATTTTATCATGGATGCAATAAGGAAAAGCACAAACCTACTACAGATTGGCTAATCAATTACTGGGAAGGAGTTTAGACACTTTTTAAAGGCATATACGGGTAAATATCATGGAATGCATGTTCCAGTGTTTTCCTCCAAACATATAATAAAAAAAATCATATGAGTAGAAATTAATTGAGGCTCTAGGTATCTGAAATGTAATTAGAACAAATTATATTCATTAATGCAAACGAAGTAAGTTATCACACAAGCCCTTTGTTTCTATGAAAATAAGTATTCYTTCTTTGGGGTGCTGAATTCATGTTTCCAGGACAACAGATATTTCCACCTGAAACATTCCTGTGTTTTTTTTGTAAAGGATCAGAGGGCACTTTCAATTGAAAACATGAACAGAGGGAAAAAATTTGTTTTAAACTAGGCAGGTACAATTATAAATGTTGAATATTGCTGTGTTTACATGCTGCAGTTGCTAGTGCAATGGTGTTTTTGGATTTAGCTGAACAGACTTCAGAGAGAGAAAATAGAGATGACAGAGGCTGATGAGCTCAGAACAACTTCCTTCCAGTAAAGTCTTCTTTCATTTCTTTAAGCTATTAAGCAATTCTGTATTTTCTGAACTTTTGCAGAAGACATAGACCTTACTGGAAATAAAAATTGCCCAACCAGTCACACACTGGTTTATTTCTTTCTATTTACTTTAAATAGAACCTAGATGGAATAAATGAGGATAGTTTTCAAGCAACCAAACTTCCTCAACTTGCCATAGAGCAGAGTTCAAGTTATGTAATAGAAAATTCAAAGTAACTCTTATCAAGAGTTAAAGGTTTATGGGCAGGGCAGTTGGCTGTAAATGAAGATATGTTTTAGATCTGCTTTCCTGTGTGAATGACTATGCAATGACTATGCAGGACATCTCGTTACATTAGCTCTATTAACTGTCTTTGTAAAGCATCAATGGAAGCAGAATATTTTTCCACAGACTTACTACATTTGAGATTGCTCTGAGGAGAGGATCAAGAGAAGAGTTAGTTCCTAATTTTAGCTGTCAGAGCTAGAAGGAAGCTGCTCGCGGAGTTGGGAGTAATAACAAAATTAAATCCTAYTAATCAGCCCACCATCTGCTATGGCTAAGTAGGGGTACTCATACTACCAGGTTTGTTTGCTTGGGTTTTATTGTTATGATTTAAGAGTTCTGTTTATGATACAAGTTGYRTTTGTGTACAAAAGAGGAAGGAGGGAAGAAAACATAAAGCCAGATCATGTGGGTACTGCAGATAGCAATTGGAAAACATTAGACKCCATTACATTAYGATGAAACCAACTATGGCACGTACTACTGTAACTCCAGCAAATTGTGGTGGTCAGGAGTTAAGTCAATATCAATTTCCTTTACAAAGTGCAGCATTAATTGATCTGTTGTGCAGTTCAACTAGGACATCTGATGGTTATACAGTCATTTTTTCTCTTAAACAAGGTCCATTTTACCTGTCTAGTGTACACCACGAACTTTCATTACTGTATGAAAAAAAGGAATATTGGCGTGTTGCCCCCATCTCCCTTCTTTGTCAGGTTGCYATATTTTATCTGTTTAGTGAAGAAGAAAAAAGCCTAGCAGGTAAAGAACTTCTTTTACCTTTTGCTTTTTGAAACTGATTACACTTCACTTCAACAAATGTACTGTAGTTACAGCAATACCCTTGTGCTGTACTATTCCTTAAGGAATGTGTCTTGCACCTATGGCACTGCCAGCCAGACAAGYGTGACGATTTCTAGAAGATAGGAAGGTCAAACACTTTGGTTCTTTATKAGGATTCCTTCTATGACTTTGGTGGTAATTTTTATTTACCATAGAGAGTGTGCACCTGTGTCCTTTACAATTATTGAGACGTGACACTCTCAAGAGTATTTCCTCAAACACAAACTTCCATATAACACCCTGTTTTGCATCCTCTTTGAACTAATACAAATACAGAAACTTTAGCAGAGACATGGCCAATTCTTAATTTTTCTTAAGAGAATTCTCAAAAAACACATACAAGTATATATACATAAACCACTACAATTCTTACTGTATTAATTCCATGGCTCTCTGAAATAGTATCAAATCATTCCCCTAACTTCAAASGAATGTTTTGTAATCTGCTTTGTACACCGGGCTATTGTAATAACACTGAAAATATGACCAAGAGTTTGGCAATGAGGCAATGACCAGAACTGCAAGTCATTATGACTAGGATTGCACTGTGGGTTTCTGCTTTGGGGAATAAGGTGGCTACTGCAGTCTTGAAGCCAAACTAAAKTTTTTTGACCATAGCATGTTTCATTCAAAGCATTTCCCAAGAGGAAAACTAAACTCAGTAATGGCAGCATAATGCYAATATATTTAATAATGCTAACAGCATAGACAGCATAGTTCTAATAGTCTTTAAAAATAATTCAGGCTTTACTAAATTATAAAAKAAGTCACAGCAGAAGGGAAAGATGCATCATTAAATGAAACAGTTTTAACAGTCTCCATAAAAAACCACCTCTCCCTTCGTTTTAACATTGTGAAACACTGATTTATTAGTAGTAGATGACTTTGTTTTSTTTGGCAAACTGATAAGATTTTTCTGTTACTACCAGGGATCAGGACTCTCTGCATTTACTTCCTTGTTTGTGCAGCAGCAGCATCAGATAACATCATTAGTTACCTGTCTACTGGAAATACATTCAATTCAATTAAAGAAATTGAAGGATCTCACCCAAAAGGAGATCAAGAATGTGATCATTTTGCTAAAGTTGAAAGCTTAAACACATTTATTTATGTGCAAGAAATTTTTCTGACTTGTGTGGCTTTCTGACCTCTCAGCTAATACAGAACTTTTCACTGAAAAATTCACATGTTGTACAATGCTGAAACAGGAAGGGAAAGAGCTCCAAYTTTTCATTAACATTGTGCTGTTAATCTGTGTTAGAATCTAGTGGGGAGGAGAGTGTTCCTCATTTACCCCTCACCAGTGCTTTCTGAAGATAAAATACAGTTCTGTGCAAAAGGCTGATGCACTCCTTGAGTCCATAGTCCACCTCTGGGCTACCAGAACAGACTAGTCTCATGCCAAATACTATAAACATRAGTAAAATGATAGAAAGTGGCTTGAAAGCCAAAGAGTTCTATAGAACTGTAACTGTAAAGTGGGATGCAGGCAACTCTGCCTTGTGATTGCATGATTTAATGATTTAGGCAGTGCTGACAGGATTGCTGCAGAGCTCTGGTCCCCATGCTCTATTTTTSGTGCTGTATCCTAATGACTTATCCTCCAGAGTCTCCTGGAGTAAAACAGAGTAGATCCTCAGTTTACCATCATCTGGTAACAGGAATGTCTACGTGCAGAATTCCCACATCCTTCAGCAGGGAATTCTGATTATAAAATCAATGGCTGTGATAAAAGTCCCAAGTTCAAGAACTGTCATCTTCCCCTGCTTCAGCAACACCTGGGGTCAGTGAAGTCAGCAAATCTGGCTGAGTGACAGAAATTATGTTTTCTAATTATGCAGAAAACAAATTWAAAAAAAAGTTTCACAACTCTTATCTGGACTGGCACTATCAGAGTCTCCCAGGCCRCAGGAATCATGATTTGTAATGCTTAGGATTAAAAACTGCCAGACCACTTCAAGTTTGCAGTTAYTGAACATGAACAAATTATTTTACCATTTACTTGTAAAGAAACAACCAGATGAACCAAATTTCATTAAAGAACAGCCCTTACTCAAAACAAAAATAGATGTGGAAGAGCCTCCCATAATATTATTGGCAGATATGGCCTTTATTTTTCTGCAGCAGCATAATTTAGAGAGAGCTTTCAGTAGAATGGACCTTACCTAACAACATAAGGTTAATTTGTTAACAAATTTAAAGAAAAACTGCATATGTTTTTATGTGAGTCTATAGAATGATAATGTATGTTCATGTCTATAGCCCAAATTTGTGCTTCATTTTTTTTTTTAATGAGAATACAATTTTAAAGTACTTTAGTTCTTTATGCATCTAATGAAAATACAAAGACTCCTTGAAATGTCTGGAGCCTATGTATCCTTACTGTTGTTAGTAAGGCTCCTCTATTTKTTCACCGACGATGCATTTATTACAATCCTTTGGCATAAATAAAGCAAAGCAGAAGAGGAGAGAGGGAGAAGGAAGGCAAACATTTCAAGCAGGGGCTTTTCTGCTTAATTTCTTCATTTAAACCACCAGCCTAACCATATTCTAATTACTCATTTGATGTGCAACTTTCTAGAACACAGTGCAGATGTACCAATAAACACTAGTAATAGTAGAAATTAGCCCAAGAAAAATTTAAGTTTTTCTGATGTGTTTGGTTTGATTGGTGAGACAGAAAGAGATTTKGCAAGAATATGTACCAACAAGTGAYAAAAGAAAGGAGTCTCARTAGAAAATAAGGAGGAGGATGTAAGAGGCAGCAAGCAAGTAGTACTAGAGTCTAGTAATATTTTGTATCAAATAATTCAAGCTGAAGTTAAAACTTGACACTTCAGTGTCTAYTGCTTGACAGCCAGTAAAACTGGAAGCACATCTATCTGAATTTTAACAGATGTTCTCAAGTACTTTTTTAAACCTCATGGAAAGAAGGTCACAAAAGTGACTTGCTTTATCTTAAAAATGCTGCATGATGGATCTAAGTTATTTATACAGACCTTTTAGGGAATATTACACGTGGTCAAATCTTGACCACGAGCAGCAGAAATGGTATTGTCAGCCAGGACAGGAGCACACGTGTCAGCCCAGCACCCCAGCCTTGGCTGTCATTGCTGCTGCTGCACAACCCAGCCTGTTCATGGGGCTGGACACAAAGAGCCACCAGCCAGGCCACCCTGGACACCTCCAGGGACTACAGACACAGCCTGTGCAGAGTCACAACCCCCGAACAGAGACCATGGAGCTGGCCTAACACGCCAGGCCAAACCTTGGAAGTCTTAAACAACATGAAAACCAACACCAAATCAAACCCTTTGTCATGCCCCCACTGCTAATAGATGAGGGTTTATTTGGTAACCTGGCAGTGAAAGCCAGTTTGTGGCCCATATCCCGATACCCAGACAAGTTGTCTCTTGGGTTCCCAACTACTGCTCTGCCATCCCCAATGTTACACCCTCCTCACATGGCCCTCAGTCCCCACACAGGTGCCATAGTGATGCTACTGGGCAGTTTTCACTCATTAGGGTGAAATTTGTCCCAGGCCCTGGGCTCCCTGTGTTGTGAGGGTCCTTGCACATCCTGGGTGAGGCCTRCAGAAGGGCAGCACCTCTCCAATAATTTCTCTGGCCAGAATATTTGCACAACAAAATCATCTAAAAGCAAAAGCTAATTAAACCAAACCCCTGGTTCATCTGGTCAAGGTCCAGCATAAATAGGGTTGGTACAGCCTTGGTGAGGGTGTGTGATTTTTCGTTAGGGTGTGGCGCACGTGCAAAGGYGCTTTGGATGTGGTCAGCTCATGGCTTTGCAGGTGCCATTACTGTGAYKGCTGCTTCCAAGTGGAGAGAGCTTYGGGCTCTCTAACAAGCTGCCTGCTCTCTGTTCACATCAGCACCTGAAGGGCAACACTCACTGTGTCCAACCACAGAGCCCAAGGCCAGGCCAGCWGTAGCACTTTTATTTCCATTTCAGTTACACTTTTACACAATATCATTGTCTTTGTGCTCCCCTATGGGAGGGATGCACTGAACAGCRAAGGCTTCAGACAGCAAATGAAAACTGCCATGTTTGTTTAATCTGAAAGCTTTTTTGGGAAGTGTCCAACATCAAATATTGGCTAGATTCAATGAATCACTCCCATTACTCTTGTTTGTTTTCCACATCTAGTCCTAGGGACAGCCACACTCTGTACTAAGGCAGACAACAACAGCAGGATGAACAATTTCTTTCAATGATTGCACCATTTACCTATTTCTGCAGAAAGCCCACACACCAGTGAAGTAACCAGACAGTGCAGAACTGTACTAAAAGCACCTTGTGACAGAGAAATGMAGGGGGTCAGAAGGGGAAATGCTGACACTAGGGCTATCACATGTAAAGAAACAAAAAATACTCAACACAGCTCTCTGATGACCACAACATCACAAGAACTGCAGTTTCAAGGCCTTGAAGTACTACTGCAGTAACAAAAATCAGTAATTCACTGTATGTACACTGCAAAAGGCAACCTTCTATTCTTCTGTTCTTCCAGAAAGTTATTTACAAATAGGCTACTGAGAAAGTTAGAAAAGCATAACGATAGATGAACTATTAAACACATGTTTTAATGGTTTTTAACCCATATTTGAATTCTAACAAGCTAGTGAGCATTTTTATTAAAGTTTGTAATTAGTATGAAATTTGGAAGCGATATAGTTCCATGGGAATGTACTAGTTAGGGTGAGCAAAGATAGCGATTGTTAAAAAAAGAAGCCAAAACCAACCAAAAACCAAAATCAAGACCAAAACCAGAATGGAGTAGGACAGAAACAGAATGGAGAGAAAYAAGTGAGTTAAATTATTTCAATAGCCTCTAAATTGCTCATGGAATAAAAAGTCATGGGTTTGCATAACATGGATCAGGGAAGTCTTACTGTTCTCAAACATCTGCTCATAGAATTCAGCCAATTGAATCTTTACTATTTGTAGAACAAAGGAATKAATTTGTATATTGATTTATAGGTTTGTCGAGTAGTTGAGGGGGGACATATGAGTACACCAAGGGCAATTACTGTAAGAAAAAATCCTCATCTATGCAGCAGACACATTTTCAGGGACAGTCAGAGAAGACACAAAATTCCAAAAACTTTAACAATATTCATGTTTTTTTTTCGAAGTGCAGAAAAATATTTTGATTCCTTACATTGTGTGAAAAYTGTCCCAAAAATCTATATTAATAAAGAAAAACAAAACAGCTAACAAAGCAACACAGTTTATTACCAGAGCTGTTATGCTTCAGGACAGAATAAGAGAAACAAAAACGTGTGACTGACAGCAGTCACTCTGCTTAATTGCTGCTGGAAACATCACTAAAATCTGGCTAAGTACAAAAACGAACTAAAAATTACTTACAATTAAGTCCCAATGTTGACAGATACTCTGCAAATAGTATGCAGATCAAACAAGTGATTTACTGAAGAACAAACTCATTAAATTAATGCATCCACTCAGAGCACAGCACCGCACTTTGGTTTTTGTGGTGTCCAGTAGAAACATGGAATATTTTCTGTATTAAAAGACATTAAACTTATATTCCTCAGAGGACTGTGTTTTTGTGGTTCTTTGGTATCCAATCTTCTTATAATGTCAGTCCTTAAAATGAAAGCTAMGGACTTATTCTGAAAACTAGTAGGTTCTCTCTCTCTCTAAAACATAAATGCTACTCAGTCATCCTTATTTGAAAAGTATTTATGCAACATTTAAGCTATKTTTTTTCTCAGTTGAAGAAAACATAAAGCTTCTGAAGCCAAACTRCCTGGGAATTCAGGAGACAGCTTTTCTAACTGAAGTCTGTCTTTGCTGCAGCAGAGTAACCTRAAGCACTTGACTATTACTCATTTAAAGGGACTTTTTCCAATTAGCAGTTGTTTCACTTTTGCTTTCTTCCTCACAGAAAATAGTATGAATTCTGAACATGCAATGTATACATTTAGGATTTATTTCATTAAAAAAGGCTTTTTCCATCTATAATTACCATCTGAAGATTCAATGATTTACATCAAATACCTATTGAAAATTAATATTTTGAGTCAGGTTTTTGGACTATGTGGATGCTGTATGCCAGCTTCTAAAGCAACATCAAACCCCTCATCCAGAGTCCAAAAAAATGTAGGAAGACCCTAAAAATGTAGCAGAAGCATTTCCGCACACTGATTTCAGTAGTCAAGTTTGTGCAGAAGTGATTCCACTAGATTCATAGGGTACCTTTTTGAGGCAACAGAAACTTCTCACTTTGTAAGACTTTTAACCTCTTCCAGCTCTTCTATAGGTTGCCACTTCTGTCTGATTGTTACCAGCTGGAAGAAATGGAAAACATAAAAGTTAGCAAAATCCCAGTGAGCACTTACTCCACTCCCACGTCCCCACATATCATGCATCAACTTATTGCTGAAGAAGTTCTAGTGGCTTTACATTTTCCTTTCCAAAATAAGCAACTGATGACAGGCTAATCTGTGGAACAAAATCACTTGGGTATTAATTAAGTAATGATGCCAAATTATTTTATTTTGCCTTATCCTACATGATCTACTAAACTAAGGTATTTTTCCTTCAGGCTGTGGTACTCAAACATTCTTAYTAAATTTTGTACTTTAGGAACAAGGTAAGGGTAAACAGCACTTCCTCTATCCTCCAAATTTCCAACAGATTAAATAGAATTGAGTAAATGAATGTTTGGGGTGGGAATGGACATCTGGGAAGCAACCAGGAGTATGGTTCAAGATCAGATCAAGAATATTAACAGCTGAATCCCTATCATTAGGTAATATGGGGAAGACATAAAGTAATTAATTAAGCATTTGTTTCTACTTTTAACTAGATGTACATCAGCTTTACACTTGTTTCCTCATTCATATTTTGCTAGTTCTTACATTTTTGAAAGTGATTCATTGTGTTGGAAATTTATGCAATTTATACATATGWTGTATGCACAAATTACCTTCTGAGGTTTGCTAGGATCAATCTCTTCCCATGGTTCTGGACTGCCAAACTTGTGAACGCTTTAAAAGAAGATAAAACAGGTATCATGTTTTAAGGCGTGTCCTTGCATACATTTTTCTTATATGAGCAGTCTATCGTCAACAGAGCTTTTTACAAAAGTAAGGAGTTCCCTACAACACAAGTTTACACCGGGGGCATTCTGTTTTAAAATCTGTGTAGGAATCAGTGACGGCTTGCTTTACTTGCACCTTCAAAAGCACCAAGCAAATCAGCACTGTTCACATATCATTGTGAGGAAAAAAAGCTGAAAAATYGCAACTGAATAATGACAAAATGTAAGGTGACTTTTAGCCTGACAGTTAAAATGCCTATTCCAATCACTTCAAAATGAATAAACACCCAAAAGCTTGAAGAGTATAGGATTTGGCTCCACTTATTAGCCAAGCAACTGGGATACTATTGTAAGTTAATATAATCAAATGCTGTTTAGCCTGGTTGCAATATATGTGCAYCTCACCTATCTGATTATATGAAATTCTTGATAAGAACATTTAAAACCKAAAGCAAAGAAAATTACAGTTAAGTCAAACGTTAGGAAGTAACTTGGACTACACTCAAATTAATTAATTTCTTCACTATTTACAATCTGCAGATACTTTGGTCATTACCAGTACTCTGGAACATGCCTCTTTTTTTTTTGTGTAAAACATGACAGACAAATTCTCTGTTGAATAAAAAAAAAAAATAGGGTAACCTCCAAGCAGTAAGTTTTTGCTTACATCACATCAGGCTTGAATAGGGAATAGATACAAAAAGAGAACGCCCCAGCTGCTGCCATGGTCAATATTCCAGCCAGGGGAATGAGCTGAAAGATAAAATAGAGAAAAGAGTTGAACTTATGTCCCAGCTACAGACCCAGAGCAGGGGRAGCAAGGGTTACACAGAATTAAGGAACGATTACCTGCTCATATATATTACCTCTATATTACTCTTTACATCACCTCACTTTTAATATGTGAATTTCACTTTAACCTSTATATTACCCATCTCTACACCTCACTTTAAATGCATGAACTTTACACGAGTCCCTGCTATCACCATTTCCTCGGGAAACCAAATGGCAATCCCGGTGCAGCCGCCCGAGCCCGCCGCATCCCTCCCCGCGGGCGGGTACCACGGCCCCGACCCCTCGGGCAAACTTACTTCTCTTTTGGTTTTAAGCATATGCCAGAGGCCCTTGCTCATGGTGGCTGCGCCTGGGGACCGACACAAGCGTGTGCTGTCAGGGCACCTCGCCTGAGGCAGGAGGTGCGGGCGGGGTCGGGTGGCAGCGCCGCGCCCTCCCCGCGCTTTGAGCCCCGCGGCGCTGAGGGCACGGCAAAGGGCGCCCCCYAGCGGCCGGCGCGGGGCAGCACCCGAGGAGCCGCAGGTGCCACAGAGCGGGGTRCGACCTGTGCCCTTCCCACCTTCCYGAGGACAAACCTTCTCTCTCCGTGACTGCAGCACTCAAACCTTCCCTCTCCATTTCTCCTTTGTCTTCTTGCCTAGCCCCTTCTCCAGGCAGCTGCCAAACAATAGCGTATTTAGGCAAACGCCCCTGCAAGGACATACCCTGTCTCTTCCAGAGCTCTGAGAGGTGTCTGTAGTGACCGAAAGAGGAGCCCAGTGTCATCATGTTCCCTTGTTGCAGCAAAAGCTCAACCCAGGCCCAGRTTCCCTTCACTGTTGTGTTACACAGTTCCTATCACTTCCCAATATCCCTGAGAAAAACTCCTACCAGGGGCAAGCTGGAGGTGACAGCAGATGACTCCTGTACATCTGTTTCTCCCCTTCTCTCTCGCTCAATGGGAAGCAGTGAGAGAGGCTGCCTTTATTGCATGCTCTGCTTGCTCTCCCCTGCAAGGAAAAGACATGGCAGGGCACAATCAGCTCAGCTGGTCCTTCTAGGGAGCAAGCATGCAAATTTAGCAGCAGTGTCTTTAAGGCAAAGGAACTGGTGGCATTTTGCTGTCACAGTAACTTTCAGGTCCAGCAATCCTAATGCAAACTCTCAAACAGAATTTTCATACTTTTTACTAGCACTGCTGCTGAGAAACCTTTGAGTGTTTGGGAAGTTCACTTGCACTGGCTATTTGTTGCCACCGATAAAGCAACAGGATGGTCCTTTCTATAAAATGGTGATCAAAGTCACCAAACTGTAGGGAGCTGTTCGTATCTGAATCCTTTCCTAGGTTACAACAGCTTCTACTACTGCCTTTTGCCCTCCTCAGTCACCAACTGCATTTGAACTTCCTTTTGTGATCCATCTCACTATCAACCACTCAGTGCAGTCCCTACTGTCACTGTCATGAGAAATAAATATTTGTTAATTGACTTATAATTTATGAATCTCGCGGTGTATTTTGTTCACAAAGCATTTTCACTGGGAAAAGACAGTAAAACATAATAAAAACTTTGCCACTCTAGTAATGCACTTACATATAGGTAATACCAATTTCTTTGGATGTATCTGTGTATTTTAGAAGGCAACCTACAAAAATGTGTTGACAAAGAATGGTTGGGTGGGGAAAATAATTCTGCAGAACTTTTCATAAAGCAAACTCCCTTTCCTAAAGAAGAAATTATGATAGTTTGAGTTGACTACATACTTGTTATCTGCTTACTCAATCAATGTTTGTACAGTAAGCAGTAACTGATCTAAAATTACTCCTCAAACCTCCAACTTCCAAACCTTCAACAAAGTATTAAACATTGACCTTTTCAATGACACTATATTTTGAAATCTACTTGTAAGAAAGTAAGCCTGTAGACAGGTGCACATATAAAACATCTTACATTTTATATAGAACAGGACTTACTTTTTCCTATTTAACTTCCTGAAAGCTTTTCTATTTTTTAAACTTTCACTGTCCTTCGGAGACTTCACAACACATTTTAAATTTTCTTATTATACCAGTGTTTGTAAAGTAGAAAATCTACAGTAACACTAAGCTGTTCCACAGAGTTTTATCTAAGTACCTCAAATTACTCGTTTGATCAGACATAAACCTACCCAAAGSAAACAAGACTTTATTATTCATTATTGAAATTACAGAACTTTTCACATGAGAAACTTTACTGTATTTCACACRTCCTGAAAACTACAGGAAGTACAGTATTAAAAAGCAGGAAAGAGGCAAACTTTTTCAAAGTCTTTGTAATGTATTTAAAAATACCTATACCACGCCTTTTTAGATTCAAGAGGCTAATTCCTGTTTGGAGAATTTTTCATAAAATTCCAAGTCTTTTATGTTTAAAGATGGTTTAACAGTCTTCAACGATTTCACAAAATGTTCCTGCTTTACAGCAGTTGCTTCAAGTCCATTCTCTTGTAATGCCAACAAACCAGCCTTTAAAAGAAAAAAAAAAAAACAACAACTTAAAGTCCTTATCATGTTTGAAATTGCAAAGAATACTGTAAGTATTCTGAAGTATTCTGAAATATTTAACAAGGAACAAAGTGTTAAAGCATCTGAAAACTGCATTGTATAACTTATGGTTATTAAACACCAGCTAAAGATCCAAGTAAGGTTACCATATTCATTCACTTTTTCTGTCTGTGATCTGACAATTCACTCTTTATCACTTACATATTTGAATTTTCTTACTAGTCTTCTGTCTTTTATACAACTCAACTCAAATTCTGGATTTCTTATTTTTTTTCTCCCTCGCCTTGTTAATTTCAGATTGCAGTACAAAGAATACAATTCACCTAGATGTGAGCATGGATTAGAGAGGGCCACATGAAATGAAGGGTAGTACAGTCCCTTAACTTCTAGTAAATTATCACAAACACACTTYATTCTTATTTGGCTTTTTTATTTAAAGAATGAACCCTCATTTAGTTCTTCTGTTTCACCCATTTTCTTTGTATTTTCARTACAAACTGTCGAAGAACCTGTACTACAGATGGTTTGGTAACATCTGTGAGTTAGCTCTTTTTTTGATTTAAAGTTGTTTGTTAGTTTATTACACAGATGACCTAGGAATATTTCTTACCTCCTTGCACAGATTTTCAATATCAGCTCCAGAGAAGAGGTCTGTTAGGACTGCCACATCTTGTAATGACACATCAGTATCTAATGGAATTTTTTTGGTGCAGATTTTCAAAATGGARAGTCTTCCCTATAAATTGGTGCATATTGTACAAGAAAACAAAACCAAACAACCCAAAAATTAATCTCTCTCCAAAGCAGTACCAAATTTGAAATTAGAAGCAAATAAAAAGGAAAAGTCTAAAACTACTTGGTTTTGGTGGAAGGACAATATGCTGTTAATGGAGATAATACTCTTCTGGTTGGCTCATATATTTAAGGTCTGTTATTCAGAGTTATTCATTACTTCATGAAAACACGGTGTTTTAGACTGAACAGGCTTGATTTGGTATGATTTGGGTCAACTTTTTTTTGTGAAGCTCAGGACAAGTAGCTACAYTACCCTTGGGAACAGGACACAAAAATTATTTGAAGCCAGGACAAACAACTTATTTTGGTGTTCCCTGAACTGTAGCTTAATTTTGTAAACAAACATTTTCTTTACTTTCCATATGCAATATTGAACTACCTACACCAGTTAAAATGTTATTGGTGTTTAAAATATTAATGTATTTATTCCTTTATTAATTTCTTCATTGTACCTTGAATTTAGTCACTGATCTCCTGTGAAACACCTATCAATTGTTAAATATGTGTAAGGAATATGCCCCCTTTGCCTTTAATGTAWGCTAGCAATTAATATCTCTCCCTTGAAAGCCATGATGTGTAATACCTTCAGATCTGGAGGTGGAATATAGATCATCTTGTCCAGCCTTCCAGGACGGAGCAAGGCCTCATCCARCATATCTGGTCTATTTGTTGCAGCAACTACCATGAAATCTTTGTTCAAAGTTTCCTGGAACTCTAGCTGAGTAAGAATAATAGAAATTAATTACTGCAATGTGATTAAAATAGGTAATATCAAAACATATTAATTAACTACTAATGAGAAGATGGGAAGGGCAAAAAGATTATGTACTTTTACAYGCAGTCATTTTTCTTTCAATATCAGTGTCTAATTCTTCTTGAGGTAAAAAATGCCTTGGTGCAGGGCAGATTACATGACAAAGAAGAAATACAGTTAGTATTTGCCKTGGCAATAAATAAAGACTATTCTTTGTCCAGATTGTAACAAAGAATTTTTATATGCAAAAAATTCAGTATCCTAAAATTCTGAAACTGTTTTCTTTATTATTCCCCCTATGAGTATCCTAAGAAAAAAAATCTATACACAAAAAAGCTAAATATTAAATGTTGTGAGCAATTCACTGACAAGTGAAGGTACAACTTTTTGTTTAACTAAGTAATTGGTCATAGTTGTATGATGCTTTTGTATGCAGTATGTGTGAGAAAGGACTGCAAATAAAGTAAGGTAAGTACCTACAAAAAGTAAGCTCAGGGAGGAACTTGCTTAAGAGTAAAAATAGCACAGTCAATMTAAAAAATTACTTTATTGTCAAGAAAAGGATTTTTGTGACAGAAGATGAACACCAACTAATAATGCTCATTAGCGTTTGTGGGTTATTTTGCTCAAACAAAGTCCCATTGAGGAACAGTATRTGTAAAAACATTCAGCAACCTATAACAGTATTTTCTAAGAAATAGTAATTATGAAAGAGTAAAAGAGCTTCTTGCAGGTTTTTAAGTCTGAGRATTTTAAGTTTAAAATGTGAAGGCCAACAAGTAAAATTTTTGTAAAAACTGGACAGCATTTTTCATTCTTCCTACACAGAAAAGGGAACATAAATACCTTTCTTTCCTYGTCACTTTGTTCTTGGCACTGAGCCTCAAACTGTAGCTTGCCTCCTCTTCTTTCTGTAACTTTCAGCCCAACCCCATCCAATTCATTGAGAAGAACAGAAAGAACCCGYTCTGAGACACCATGGCCAGTTCTGCCATGTGCCCGAGATCCCAAGATWGAATCAATCTCATCCAGGAATATTATTGCTGGAGTATTTGCTCTTGCTTGGCGAAAAACCTTTTTAACAAATGTTAATAAARTAAAACATTAATGCCTGCATTCTASGAGGCAAGGTGAAAAMAAATTRCACTTACATATACACTCTGTATTTTAATTAACTTTAAAGGTACATTTGTAATGATTCTTAAGAGCTGTTCTGGCTTGCATTTACTAAGGGCAAATTCTGCTTCTTATTCATATTCTTAAATGAACTGAAAACAAGAGGTAGAAATACCTTCAAAGTTTAAAATTTATATAATTTCAGGGATAGATTCTCACTTTCTGTACATATGAATCTGTAAGCCATTTCTATTTTATAATTAGATAAGAGRTCTATCATCTTTTCAACAACAAAATTTAGGTCTAACACTTCACAAAAATCAAGCAAAAATAAACTACAGACCTCAAACAAACTAAAAACTGTACCTGAGACAAAATCTTCTCTGAATCTCCAATGTAAGGTGAGAACAGGTCAGCACCACTGACAGACAGAAAGGAACARTGACAACTCGTGGCCACAGCCTTCACCAGAGTGGTTTTGGCACACCCAGATGGCCCATACAGAAGAATTCCCTTGGGATGAGACAGGCCCATCCTGGCAAACGCCTCAGGAAATTTCATAGGCCACTCAATACTCTGTCAATACATAAAAAAGGMATGAAATTGTTACTAACAAGCAATCAAAAAAATTGCCAAGTACATAATTTCCTCTCCTTGATACAAACATTGATTTGAAATCAGAGAATATTGATTTAATCTTTCTTCATATAATGCTCCCTTCTTAAAGTTTCCATCTGAAACAGAACTAAAAGCAATCCTGAAGAGATAATAGCCAAGAGCCACCCTTGGACATATTATGGAATGGACAAATTATCTGGCTGCAAGTTAAGTATTTTTCAGCTAAAAAACATGCATATTTTCCCATGATATTAMTATGTGTAGTGGTACCTTGTGACTGTAAGATTTCTAACTCAAACAATGTAATAACACCGTAATAATGTTTAAAATACAGTTTATAATCAGGTAATTTGCTAGAGAAATAGTTTTCMTAATGAAGCATACAGAATCCCTGGAGCATATATCTGTTAGAAATTAGCTGTTTGTTCAAATTTGTTTTATATATTACCTGCTTTAACTTTAATTTCACATCTTCAAGACCACCAATTTGCTCCCAAGTCACAGGTTTACACTCTGTTAGTCCAACTGCACTTCGAAAAGAGGATGGTTGAACTTTYTTAAAAGCTTCTTGGAAATCTCCCATGTTAATTTTGGCTTCTGTTTCAGTTGAATCCTAAAAAAACCAACCAGAKAGAGCATATTAACAATATTTTAATGTAATACTTAAATGCTGTATTAATATGCAAAACTCTTCACATAATGCCAAATACAACTAATAAGGAAGCCAATTCCTGACCTAACGAGCTTAAACACTGCAGACACAAAAATGAAACACAAAGTAAAATATAACCTTTTAATAGCAAGCTTTTACACAGGAAAAAACAATTTTAACAGAAATTAGTGTTTCAGAGGAAACTACTATTCCCTAAATTACAGCTCCATTAGACAGTGATATGCTAAATCAAATGGTTGCACACATCAAATCCTACAATTTTTGAACAGAAAAAAGCCGCAAAATGCATTTTCACCATRCACTGAAAAATGTAACATATTTTATCTCAAACAGGCTATAAAATGCTACTAGTAAACCACAGATGCAGTAAGAGGACTACGATGAGAACAGAAAGGACTAGCAAAAATAACACATACACATTATAACACACTTGGTGTGAGTCTTCAACTTGTTGAGCTTTTCAAGTAAAGCTGRGTATTAAGAAGGAAAGGGTAGTACATATGTTACTGACATTGTTCTTGCCTGATGTGCAACCATACCAAAGCGCTGTGGGACACAGCCTGCATTGCAGCTTCTCGGCAGAGTGCTGTAAGGTCAGCTCCAACATACCCAGTCGTCATTTCTGCCAGCTTAGCCAAATCAACCTCTGCACAAATGGGCATATTCGATGTAAGCAACTCCAGGATGGATCTTCTCTGTGTAACTGTTGGGGTCCCAATAATAATCTAAATCAAACAGAATAAACAAAAATTTGAAGTATATAATTTACTATATTCATTTATTTGATAGAACCAGGCAAGCAATTTTGTCCCTGCTTTATATTGCCTACTGAAAATTTATATATATTATATCCCAACTGAAGAATTTTTATGGGAAACCCATCACCAGCACTATACAGATGACAGGTATTTAAAATACCATGTACTTTCCAAGTGAACAGTGTTTGTATAAACAGCAGTTGTTCATAAGACACTGTCAGATAGTGTTTATCAAATCCCATAACACTGAAATAATAATTTCCTTATTAGTTAGATTTATGCGACAGGAAAAAATAACTTAGATAAACATTCACACATTACTGAAAATCTGGTAARGTATCATCATAAAAATATATCTCAGCAATCTATAAATCCTGGGAAATAATGGAAATTATAATTATGAAAGCATTAAAGAACTTGACTAAAACTGGTGACCTGGGAGTGGATTTAGCCAAAAAAATAAACAATACAAGCACAAGCACTGTGTGTTGCATAACTGCGTGTTTCTCTTCTTTGGACTACTGGGCTAAAGGAAGTTTTCCAGAGTAGACCCAACCTCTGTTACCGAAACCTGAATGGAAGTTTTGACACAACAGATTTCTAGTTTTCCGTCACAATAAGCCTTTAAGGAGAGATGCATAAATCTTCAATCTAGGATTTAAATGGAAAAAATGTAATCCTGTAAAGGTTAAGTACCTGTAAGCAAACCAAGCCCCTCAAGATCAGGTCAATGCCTTTATGATAAAGAAGCATAAAAATAACCCCCATCCATTTTCAAGTACATGAACCTCTCAGTGTCTTGAGAAAAAAATCCAAAACCTTATCCAAGTTGCAGCAAACTAAAGACAGAAATAAGACACCTGTTTTAAACCTGTAGAATCCTACTATGAAACATGACTAGAAGACATTAAAACCCCTACTTTTTAATAGATCCCTTCCACCTCAATAAGGAAAGAAAAAAGTGAGTGAATGAGTAACAGCATTTATTTACCTCTCTGTCAAATCTGCCAGGTCTTCTCAGTGCAGGGTCTAAGGCATCAGGCCTGTTTGTTGCTGCCACAATGACCATCTTACCCTCACTCCCTACACCATCCAGCAGCGTCAGCAACTGAGCAACAATTCGATCTTCAGGAACATTGTTTGAATTTCCTCGCTTTGGGCATAAAGAATCAATCTCATCAAAAAAGAGAATGGTTGGGCCCTCCTTTGACATCYCTCTGCCCTTTTCAAAGACTCTTCGCAAATTCTCTTCACCTTCTCCTGGTCTTGAACCATGGAGAGCTGGGCCACTGATGTCAAACAGATATGCCCCCAGCTCTTTTGCTACTGCCTTTACCATAAGAGTTTTCCCTACACCTGGGGGCCCAATTAATAGCACTCCATTAGGGACAGACAGCCCCAGCTTCTTCARAGTTTTTGGAAAGCGGAAAGGCAGATCAATAATCTCTTTCAAAGACTTCCCCACATCATCTAGTCCTGCAACTGAAGTTTTTGCAGTGTCTTCTGACAGATGATATCTGTACCATTCTAAAGTGATCACCTCCTTAATTTTTAAGCTTGTTTGGGGAGTTATCAAKCCAGCTTCCTCCTCCGAAGCGTCTGCAGACAGCATTTCAATATAYACCACAGGATTTTCGGGACTTGGGGCAACAGCAACAACAAAMCGAAGTGAAACATACACATTTCTTAGCAGTTCTCTGATTGTCTCCTGCAACACCGCTCTGGGAGTCGACTTTTTCAGCGCGGCGCTCTTGAGGACCACTCTGACAGTCGCTCTTCGCAGCTGTCGGTGCGGCAGCAGCTGCAGCTGGCCCATGCTGAGCGAGATCCCGCGCAGCTCCCGCGCCCTCAGCCCCGCCGTGCTGCAGGTCAGGTCGGCCTGCAGGTACCCGTCCGCCAGATCGCGCCGGGGCCACGCCGTGCACAGGCAGCACCCGCCGGGCAGGGAGATCCTSAGCGGGGCGCCGATCCTGGCTCCCAGGAAGGAGAGAGCGGCAGGTCCCAACCGGCACCGCTGGGTGCCCTCATCYCCCGGGTCCAGCGGGAGCAGTTTTAAGGCTGCCGCCTCCATCGCTGCCTCCGCGAGGGAGGGCAGCAACACCCCTACCCTGCGCGGGCCCGCCGGCTCCTTACTCACCGCGCCGCCTCCTCCCGCGGGGTTCCCGCTCCGCCACCGCCGGGCGCACAGCGGCCACCCCACACTCCGGAGCGGCGGCGGGCGGGACAGCACAGGCGGGCAGGGACGGACCGGAGCGGCGGCGGGCGGGACGGCACAGGCGGGCAGGGACGGACCGGAGCGGCGGCGGGCGGGACGGCACAGGC